AATGGCCAGAGGCAGCCAGGTCACTGCAGGCAGCAGAAAGGACTAACTGAGGTGAAACCGTATTTTGCAGTCGGGATAATGCTAATGTTGAATGCTCTGAAGTGCTCATCATTGCAGCTCAATTTGCTCAACATATTAACCCGTTCTGTAGAGGCCAATGGAAAGCAGCTGTGAAAATGATGCTCAACAGTTCCAATAAATGTAGTAGCTCATGATGCCCAGCCCAAATGGCCTTCATTAAAGAGTCGCCAGGAGGCTGTGCCACAGTTCTGGACTTGGAAAGTGCTCTGTGGCTAACACAGTGCACAAATGTAGTGTTACCCCCGAATGAGCCACTGGAATTCCAGCCTATTTTCCCCACTCAGCATCCACAGCTAGGCAAAAGGAATTTTCCACACACTCCAATTGGATCAAGAAACAGCCTAGGGGTTTTTTTAGTTTAGGTTGTTTATTTAGGGAACATTGAACTTGGATAGGGATACATGGGATGCCCAGAACCAAGGAAACTGGTAAACTCCAAACAAACAACGGCTGTGGGACTGAGTCTCTGGCTGCTAAAATCCAACTGAACCATGCTGCACAGCAGTAGGAGTAAAGGTACTTTCACACTGATCTGCCGCAAAAACACAGCAAAAAACGCATAGGCGGTTTTTTAACGCACTTTTGCTACACCTACTGAGTAGTTTTTAAAAGGTCACATGACTTAAAAACTACCAAAAACACTTCTCAGATGCATTTTTGAGGTGCTTTTCAGGTGTTTCCATTTATTTAAGCGTTTTTGGGGCTTCTTTTTTTTTTTTCATTTTAACACAACAAACAGCCTCTGTCCCTCTACCCACTATGTTCTGGAAATATCCAGAGAGTTCCAGAAGACAAGGGGAAGGAACAGAGCTGCAGACCTTAAAGCACTGCACAGTCTCCTAAACAAAATTTAGTCTTACTCCTCTGCCTACAAGGTAGACAAACTAGTTTTATATTGTAGGCCTGTAATTTTTAGGAATAACTCACTGAAATCTGTCCGAACAAGAGTCTAGGAAACATTCCGGGCAGGATAAAACTTGAAACACGAAATCATAAATTATTATAATTTAATAAATAATCATAAAAAATAATATAATAATAAATTTAATTAAAAAATATAATCAAACCAAAAACACAAATTTGAAATATAGCGCCAAGTTCGCACATCGCAGAGCAAAGTCGCAGAATCGTTCTCAGTGTTGGATGACGAATTTCCCCACAAATCATTATCACTCAATTCTGCAAGTGGTTCTGATTTACTATCGCTGTTCTCTAGCTGGTCTAAAACCGCTTTTGACCTAAAGCAACGCTTTTTGGATGCAATGGACTTTTCTAAGTTTCCAGGCAGAAAGAACAGTAAAAATGCAGGCAGGGCACAGGACAAAGCACTCGGGACAAAATGTATGTGAAATGCTTTGAAACAGTAATGTTTTACTATGTCATATTCGTTTATTAGAAAATGACAGTTTCTAAAAATTTTTAATTTGCCACCGGTTCCGGCCCCTGTACGTCCCGATGCAGGGACCGAAACACGGAAGCCGGCATCGGCTGGAGGAGATGGCCGGGGACGCTGCAGGGGATGCATCGCGGGAACGAAGGACAAGGTAAGCGCTGCAGGGAATCCCTGAGCAATGCCGCATGGTAAGCCCGAGTGTAGCTCGGGGATACCGCTTGTGTTACTGAAATGTTACCCCAAGCTACACTCGGGAATACCGCCAGAGAGGTTAAAGAAAAATGACAATTTTTCCCTATATTATATTGCTGCTATTATGACATATTGGAATATTTACATGCAGACTAGCAAAATAACATAGTTCACGTGTTCCTTTCTGTCTTTCATTGATCAAAAGAGAACTAGTTTTGTAAGCTTTCTTGGAAAAAATGGCAGTTAACACTTTTGCACTGTGTAAAAAAAAACTGTATAACATCTTTTTGTGTCTGTTGCAAAGGTGAGGGTTTGAGGAAATGGAGAGGGGTTTATAGTGTATGAAAACCTAAAGCAGAATTAAAGGCAAAACTGGTTTTTCGTTCCGGAAAGAGTAAGGGAGGGTTATAACCCTTGTCAGGTTTTTTTTTGCCATCTCTGCTCCACTGGGGAGATTTCCCTTCACTTCCTGTCTCATAGCCAAAATAGGAAGGGAGGCGAATCCCTGGTTGTCACCAGATCACCGGAGTCCCAATTGGAAGATTTCCCCTCTATTACTGTTCTGGGAACAACCCACAATTTCGAAGTTTCTTTTACTTTTGATGCGAACAACAAACAGGACGAATAGAGAGGGTGAATCTTACTAGCAGGGACACAAACAGCAATAAAAACCTACAGGTGTTCTACTCCTCTTAGATTGTAAGCTCTAACGAGCAGAACCCTCTGTTTCCTCTTGTACCAAATTGTATTTTAACTGTAATGTCTACCTTCATTTTGTTATGTGCTGCGCACACTGTCGGTGCTATATAAATCCTGTATAATAATAATTCATCTCCTCTCTATTCAGCCCTTAAGGCTAGGTTCACACCTATGCAGTTTGCGTTTGACCCATTTCTGCATTGTGTTTTTGCTGAGCTTTGCTTTTTTAGGCGTATCTAGGCAGATTTAAAATGCAAAATGCATCAAAAACGTGACAAAAATGCATCAAAAACACACTACATGCTTTTCTGCAGCATTTCCATTGAAGTCTATAGAACCAAAAATGTACCTTTTGGCATTAAAAAAAAGTCCCTGACCCTTTCCAAAAACGCACCGGTTGAAAACGCGGAGATGTGAACATGTCCCATAGGAAATCATGTTAAATGGACTGTATTGTGTTTGTACAAAATGCTGCGGAAAACGCTTAGGTGTGAACCTAGGGTAAAGTGGTTGTAAACCTAAAAAAAACAAATTAATCTAATCCTACAGTTGAATAGATTTTAACTTTACTAAGCATTTGAGCTTAGTTTGGTATCTTGAAGGAATCCCTTTCTCCAGAAATCCCCCCTGCTCTTCTGAATAGAATAAATCCGACACAAGCAGAAAATGGTGTCACCACTCCTCTTCTCCTGTGAGTGTCAGGCTATGATGAAGATGAGACCAGCATGAGCCTCCATGTAATACACTGCAAAGGGGTGGGGGAGAGGGTGTCCTCTCCCTTCTGGTCTCTTACCTTTATAAGATGGAGAACTCAGCACCAGTGATTTATGACATAGATCGGCATAACTTCAGTAATGCTGTAGTTATCTAGGCAAGTCTGGTGACAGCTGATTATTGTCCTGCTCTATTCACAGCACCTAGCTTATGAATTACTGTGTACAGAGTTTTACATGAGAATGTTTCCTGGTCCACATTGACACTTTAGGCTGCAAGATTCCCTGGATTTTAAACATTAACCCCTTTCTACCAGCTTTCTCCTAATTAGCACAGATCCTGTGCTGTAAGCAGAACTGACAGTCACTGGCACCTATGTATTCCCCAGAATCCACTCAGGAGACACGCTCACAGGCATAGAAATGTGAGATAGCTGTGGACGTTCTGGAGCTGAGCTGGAGGGTGTGTATAACTGAGGGATTGTGTGACATCACATCTCTGCCTACTATTCTCAGGTCCTAAGCCACGCCCACAGACCAGCAGTTTTTGGAGGGCTGATAGAAGCTAAGGGAGCATTTTTCTAAGGTACACTCACAGCTGAATGTATGTTTAATTAAAATGTGTTCATTTATGGCAAAAAAAATATTTTTTTTTTTATATTTGGGTTTACAACCATTTGAATAGTACAAAAAAAAAAAAAAGTTTTGCCTTTAGCTATATTTTGAGAGGTTCAGCCTTTACCTTTAAAAGCTTTTGCCTTTATTATGCTCTGCCCACTACTCCAAACTCAGGCTGTTAAACTGAGAAAATGCTATTCAAATACGGAGTTTCTGAAAATTTGCGTTTACACAGGGTTAAGCTTGCCTTCCCATGCTGCCATTTTCAGCATGCAGGCACTAAATGATAAATTGTGTGAGGTAGCGTGAAATACTGCATGATCCACATCTCTGGATAAACTGTGGTTTTCTCTAGGCTTTAGTAGCAGCTTATTTTATTCCTTGGGCTTTTAGTAAAAACCGTAAACAGGTAGCATAAGGTTAACGTTAACTGCTTCCTGCCCGTCATATATATATATATATATATATATACATACATATACATATATACACACACACACACACAATTGTGTTTAAAATAATAGCAGTCAGACATCACTAACCTGATTAATCACTGTTTTTGGTAGAAATGATATTTCTACATGGCAAATAATTTACTAGCAGGTGTAGTAGAGTAATAGAAATCCAACAGACCCAACAGTCATGACATGCATGCTGCTGATTCTGTGTAATTGAATCACTAATTGAAAGGGGCATGTTCAAAATAATAGCAGTGTGGAGTTCTATTAGTGAGGTCATTCATTCTCTGAAAAACAGGTGGCAATTATTGCCCTTATTTAACCACTTGCCTACCAGGCACTTATACCCCCTTATTTACCAGGCCAATTTTCAGCTTTCAGCGCTGCCGCACTTTGATTGACAATTGCGCGGTCATGCAACATTGTACCCATATGAAAGTTTGATCATTCTTTTCTCACAAATAGAGCTTTCTTTTGGTGGTATTTAATCGCCACTGGGCGCTTTACTTTTTGCACTATAAATAAAAAAATGCAAAAAATTTGAAAAAAAAAAAAAAAAGTTTCTTTGTTTCTATTATAAAATTTTTCAAACAGGTATTTTTTCTCCTTCACTGATGTGCGTTGATGAGGCAGCACTGATGGGCACTGATAGGCGGCACTGATGGGCACTGATAGGCAGCACTAAAGGGCACTGATAGGCAGCACTAATGAGGTGGCACGGATAGGCGGCACTGATAGACAGCACTAATGAGGTGTCACGGATAGGCGGCACTAATATGCAGCACTGATAGGCGGCACTGATGATGGGTACTGATAGACGGCACTGACTGGCATCACTGCTCGGCACTGACTGGCGGCACTGACTGGCACAACCCCTGGGCAGTGACTGGTGGCACTGACTGGCAGCACTGCTGGGCTGCACTGGTAGGTGGCACTGGTGGGCGGCACTGGTGGGTGGGCACAGGTGGGTGGCACTGGACACAGGTGGGTGGGTACAGGTGGGTGGCATTGCTGGGCACAGGTAGGTGGCACTTCTGGGCACAGGTGTGTGACACTGCTGCAGAGTGGCACAGGTGGGTGCACTGCTGGGCACAGGTGGGTGATCTGCTGGGCACAGGTGGGCGGAGCTAGTGGGCGCACTGCTGGGCACAGGTGGGCGGAACTTGCGGGTGGCACTGCTGGGCACCGATCAGGGCACTGATCATCAGTGCCCTGATGATCGGTGCCGATCCCCGCTCTGACAACTGCCGGTTCTCGGCAGTACTTTCCTCACGATCTGACAGCGTGAGGAAAGTGCAGCCGAGAACCGGCACTTGCATTTCCCTGTGATCAGCGTGTCATTGGACACCGCTGATCACGTGGTAAAAGGCCGCTGTGATTGGCCTTTTACCACATCACGTGATCAGCTGTGTCCGTAGGACACAGCGATCACGGAGATCGCCGGGTGCGCGCCCCTGGGGCGCGCAGGAGAGCGCGTTCTGGGAGGACGTCATATGACGTCCACTCAGAACTGGCCGGCCGCAGTGAAGCCGTCATTCGGCTATCTGCGGTCGGCTACTAGTTAAGGAAGGAAGGCAGCAAATGTACATGCTGGTTACAGTGCATTTCTCTCTGAAATTCTGAGGAAACTGGGTCGTTCCAGACATTGTTCAGAAGAACAGCGTACCTTGATTAAAAAGTTGGAGAGGGGAAAACATATAAAGAAGTGCAGAAAATGATAGGCTGCTCAGCTAAAATGATCGCAAATGCTTTAAAATGGCAACCAAAACCTAAAAGACGTGGAAAAAAGCGAAAAACTACCATTCGAATGGATAGAAGAATAGCCAAAATGGCAAGGACTCAGCCAACAATCAGCTCCAGGAAGATCAATGAAGGTCTAAAGTTACCTGTGAGTACTGTTACAATTAGAAGACGCCTATGTGAAGCCAAGCTATCTGCAAGAAGCCCCCGCAAAGTCCCACTGTTGAAAAAAAGACATGTGCTGAAGAGGTTACAATTTGCCAAAGAGCACACTGACTGGCCTAAAGAGAAATGGCGCAACATTTTGTGGACTGATGAAAGTAAGATTGTTCTTTTTGGGTCTAGTGGCCAGAGACAGTTTGTCAGACGACCCCCAAACACTGAATTCAAGCCACAGTACACTGTGAAGACAGTGAAGCATGGTTGCGCAAGCATCATGATATGGGGATGTTTCTCATACTCTGGTGTTGGGCCTATTTATCGCATACCAGGGATCATGGATCAGTTTGAATACATCAGAATACTTGAAGTATCTTAATCTTTTTGGATCTTAATCCAATAGAAAACTTGTGGTGTGACATAAAAAATGCAGTTTCTGAGGCAAAACCAAGAAATAGAGAAGAACTGTGGAATGTAGTCCAATCATCCTGGGCTGGAATACCTGTTCACAGGTGCCAGAAGTTGGTTGACTCCATGCAACACAGATGTACAGCAGTTCTCAGAAACAGTGCTTATACAACTAAATATTAAAGTGATGCAAAGGAAAGCAAAATCTTCAAACATTTTTCAGTTTATATAGTGAATGTTTGAGTTTGTAAAGAAGAATACAAACACTGCTATTTTTTTGAACAGTCTAATATTCACTTTTCTTCAATTTTCTTAGAGGAACAACACAAATTTGATATAGTTTTCTTCATGTTTTGATTTGGAATAGAATGTGTAGTGTTCCCAATGCATTTGTGTGTATGGAAATAAAAGCTATTAAAAGGATTTTGAGTTTTTATTCACTTTTTTTCAACACACTGCTATTATTTTGAACACAACTGTATATGTATATATATACAGTTGTGTTCAAAATAATAGCAGTGTGTTGAAAAAAAGTGAATAAAGCTCAAAATCCTTGTGATAGCTTTATTTCCATACAAACAACTTTTTCCATTCTTCAAGAACAGCCTCTTTTAAAGCCTGGATGCAGAGTGATGCTCAACTTATCTCTTCATAATTCCCCATAGGTGTTCAATTGGGTTCAGATCATGAGACATACTTGGCCACTGAATCACTTTCACCCTGTTCTTCAGAAATGTAACAGTGGTCTTAGATGTGTGTTTTGGATCATTGTCATGTTGGAAGCGTGCATGAAGACCAAGGGCATGGAGGGATGGTAGCATCTTCTATTTCAATATAGAGCAGTACATCTGTGAATTCATGGCACCATCAATGAAATGCAGCTCCCTGACACCAGCAGCACTCATGCAGCCCCACAAAAGGACACTGCCACCACCATGTTTCACTGCAGGCTCCATGCATTCTTTGTACTCCTCACCTTTGCGACGCCATACAGTTTTGAAGCCATCAGTCCCAAAAACATTTATCTTGGTCTCATCACTCCAGAGTACAGAGTCCTAGTAGTTGTCTTCTTTTTTCAGCATGAGCCCTGGCAAATTCTAGGTGGGCTTTTTTGTGCATGGGCTTTAGGAGAGGCTTCCTTCGTGGACGACACCCATGCATGCCATTCCTCTATAGTTTATGCTGTATTGCGTTACAGGAAACAGTCACCCCAGTTTGGCTTTCTACTTCTTTAGTTAACTGCAGTGAACTTACATGGTGATTTTCTTCAACCCTTCTCATCAGCAGATGCTCCTGTCGAGGTGTTAACTTCCGTGGATGGCCTGGATGTCTGTGAGGTGGTTGCAGCTCCATCTTTGGTAAATTTTTGTATCACTTTTGCTACAGTATTCTGATTGACAAGTAAAGCTTTGCCAATCATCCTGTAGCCTTTACCTCTCGTGTAAAGAAATAATTTTCTTTATTAGGCCTTGACATTTCGCCTCCATGTGGTGCCATTGCTGACAGCATGAAATGGGAAGGGGTTTTCTTTGTTAAATAATGCCCTTTTAGAATCAACTGGACACCTGTTTATTGAATAATTAGACTCACCTGTAGTTGAATTCTTGGTCATTAGGATTTTGTTATCTAAAATTTAACTTTGCTGCAAAGACTTTCATTGGGGTGTATTCATTTGTGCAACATGGTCTTGATTGACTTTGTTAGGAGAAATACTTTTTTGTGTGTGCAAATTAACAAATCTTGTTTGCAATCAATGGCTTGCATTTGTGAGAGTATTTTGTAGTATAGTGTCCCAATGAAAATGTTGATTCTGAAAGGAAAGTAAAGGTTTTCTGACAAACCTGTTGGGGTGTACTCATTTATGCTGAGCACTACACACACACACAATCTCACAGGAGTGAGTACACCCCTTTTTTCATGTGACAACACTGAAGAAATAACACTTTGCTACAATGTAAAGTAGTGAGCGTACAGCTTGTGCAAAAGTGTAAATTTGCTGTCCCCTCAAAAATAACTCAAACACACAGCCATTAATGTCTAAACCACTGGCAACAAAAGTGAGCACACCGCTAAGTGAAAATGTACAAATTGGACTCAGTTAGCCATTTTCCCTCCCTGGTCTCATGTGACTCATTAGTGTTACAAGGACTCAGGTGTGAATGAGGAGCAGGTGTGGTAATTTGGTGTTAATCACTCTCACGCTCTAATACTGGTCACTGGAAATTCAACATGGCACCTCATGGCAAAGAACTCTCTGAGGATCTGAAAAAAAAATAATTTTTGCTCGACATAAAGATGGCCTAGGCTATAAGAAAATTGCCAAGACCCTGAAACTGAGCTGCAGCACGGTGGCCAAGACCATACAGCGGTTTAACAGGACAGGTTCCACTCAGAACAGGTCACACCATGGTCAACCAAAGAAGTTGAGTGCACGTGCTCAGCGTCATATCCAGAGGTTGCCTTTGGGAAATAGAAGTATGAGTGCTGCCAGCATTGCTGCAGAGGTTGAAAGGGTGGGGGGTCAGTCTGTCAGTGCTCAGACCATATGCCGCACACTTCATCAAATTGGTCTGCATTGCTATCATCCCAGAAGGAAGCCTCTTCTAAAGATGATGCACTAGAAAGCCCGCAAACAGTTTGCTGAAGACAAGCAGACTAAGGACATGGATTACTGGAACTCTCATGAGACTAAAATAAACTTATTTGGTTCAGATGGTGTCAAGCGTGTGTGGCGGCAACCAGGTGAGGAGTACAAGACAAGTGTGTCTTGCCTAAAGTCCAGCATGGTGGTGGGAGTGTCATGGTCTGGGGCTGCATGAGAGCTCCCGGCACTGCGGAGCTACAGTAAATTGAGGGAACCATGAATGCCAACATGTACTGTAACATACTGAAGCAGAGCATGATCCCCTCGGAGACTGGGCCGCAGGGCAGTATTCCGACATGCCAACGACCCCAAACACACCTCCAAGACAACCACTGGCTTGCTAAAGAAGCTGAGGGTAAAGGTGATGGACTAGACAAGCATGCATCCAGAACTAAACCCTATTGAGCATCAGTGGGGCATCCTCAACCGGAAGGTGGAGGAGCGTTAGGTCTCTAACATCCACGAGCTCCGTGAAGTCGTCATGGAGGAGTGGAAGAGGACTCCAGTGGCAACCTGTGAAGCTCTGGTGAACTCCATGCCCAAGAGGGTTAAGGCAGTGCTGGAAAATAATGGTGGCCACACAAAATATTGACACTTTGGGCCCAATTTGGACATTTTTATTTAGGGGTGTACTCACTTTTGTTGCCAGTGGTTTAGACATTAATGGCTGTGTGTTGAGTTATTTTGAGAGGGGACAGCAAATTTACACTGTTATACAAGCTGTACACTCACTACTTTACATTTTAGCAAAGTGTGTCATTTCTTCAGTGTTGTCACATGAAAAGATAGAATAACATATTTACAAAAATGTGAGGTGTGGACTATTCACTTCTGTGTACTATATATATATATATATATATATATATATATATATATATATATATATAGATACATATATACACACACATATATATATACATACACACACACACAGCCTTGAAAAAGTATTCACACACCCTTGAAATTGTACTTTATTGGGATTTTATGTGATAGACCAACACAAAGTGGTACGTAATTGTGAAGTGGAAGGAAAATAATAAATGGTTTTCAAAATTTTTGACAAATATCTGAAAAGTGTGGCATGCATTTGTATTCAGCCCCCCTGAGTCAATACTTTGTATTACCACCTTTTTGCTGCAATTACAGCTGCAAGTCTTTTTGGGGATGTCTCTACCAGCTTTGCACATCTAGAGAGATACATTTTTGCCCATTCTTCTTTGCAAAATAGCTCAAGCTCTGTCAGACTGGATGGAGAGCATCTGTGAACAGCAATTTTCAAGTCTTGCCACAGATTCTCAATTGGATTTAGGTCTGGACTTTTACTGGGCTATTCTAACACATGAATATGCTTTGATCTAAACCATTCCGTTGTAGCTCTGGCTGTATGTTTACAGTCCTTGTCCTGCAGGAAGGTGAACCTCCGCCCCAGTCT